ATCAATAGATATTCATTTCTGAGGTCCTCATTCTGCATAGTTCAACTGCTTCTTTTTGTTCCACTCTTAGCAGTCTTCATTTTTCCTGATCTCTCCAGCACGGTTTTACACACAGCACACTAGCAAATTCTTACCTCAAATCACCCAGAAAGAATATGATTGTCTAAGACAAGTGATCCTACACATTGGATCTCGCTCTCGCTCTCGCGCTCTCTCTCTCTCTCTCTCTCTCTCTCTCTCTCTCTCTCTCTCTCTCTCTCTCTCTCTCTCTCCCTTTCTCCCTGTCTTTAACCCTATGAAGTTCAGGCTGGCCTTGGACTTACTTTGTAGCCGTGGCTAGCCTTGAACTCACAGTGATCCTCCCGTCTCAGCCTCTGCAGTTCTGTGATTATGGGCATGCTTCACTACAGAATGGATCTTAAAGTCGAATCCTCTTCTAGCCCGATTATTTTTACTTGGGCAAATGAGGCAGCAGAGGCACTTGATGGGGCAGATTTCACAGAAAATAGTACCATGAATAAAAAAATTAGATCATATCAAATTAAAAGGCTTCTACATAGCAAAAGAAACACATCATAGAATAAAATGACAACCTACAAATGTGCAAACAATTTTTGCTAGATACTTCAGACAGAGGACCAACACTGAGAGTATATAGAGAACTCAGAAAATTAGACTCACTCTCCAAAAAAGACCTAACGCCCCTGCCCCAAAAAATGAGCAAGGGAAATGAATAGATATTTCACAGAAAAAGTACAAATGGCCACTATATGAAGAAATGCTCCACAGCACTGGCCATTAATGAAATGTAAAGTAAAATAACACTGATTCCATCTTATCCAAGAAATAATGACCATCTTCAAGAAATTAAATAATAAATGCCGGCAACGTTGTGGGGAGGAACCCTTCTACATTGCTGATGGCACTGTTAACTAGTAAAACTACAGAAATCAGTATGGAGAATCCTCAAAAACTGAAACCCCATTTGACCCAGCTATTCCCTTTCTAGGTATCGTCTCAAAAGAGTTAAACTTACTTCTAGAATTCTACTCAGAAAACATATTAATGTGAAGTGCACTTAGGACTATGACAAATTGTATGAAGAAACCTTGAAATGAAAGCTTACAATAGTGTCCTGCTACATAACGATTACACATTCTAATCATTCTAGGTGTGTTCACATTTTTACTTGGTTTAGTGGTTACTTGGACACTACTGAATTTGGGCAGTTATGGAATATTATTCATTATTATTCTTTTGAATTTTTACTCCTAATAGTACTACTGAATTTTTCCAACTACTTTAACGTCTAAATGTGAGTTGGTTATTTCTTTAGGTAAATTAATTGTGTGTGTGTGTATACACTTCTAGTATTCTCAGTCAGTTTAGTGTAGGAGAGATTCCTAAGAGAATAACAATATTGCTACAAAATTAGCCACATGGTGGTTCAAGTAACAAATATGTATTGCAAACAGGTATATTCAATTATAATTACATAATAGTAAAGTACAGTTTAAATACATATAGGTTAAAAACAATCACCACAAGGGAAAGTATTAGTAAGCAAAGACTGAGGAAAAATAATGAATTTATTTGCTCATAGATTGTTTACATGGGGGCCAGGGATGTAACTCAGTGGCACAGTGCCTGCCTGGTAAGCAGAAGGTCTTGAGTTCGATTCCTGATAACAACAAAAAAAATTGTTTACATGACTGCTAAAACTGAACTTGAAATTCAGTTCTAGGATGCTTGTTAGCCAAACTGAAGAAGGAAAACAGAGTAAGCTACAAAGAAGAAATTGATAAATTTCTTGGTACAAGCTGGGACCACTAGCACTTTAAAATATTTCTATAAATCAATATACACAGCGGTCAGCACCATACGTGGACTATGGACTGAGAGAACAAAGCCACTCCAAGAAGCAAGCCCTCCCTGCAAACCAGCACCATGCACAGGCTGCTGCCAGAGTGGGGACAGCCAGACCCAAGCCTCTACCAGCACACAGGCTGGCAAATAAAAAGAGGCAACCCACCCTACCCCATAACCAACCAGCTGATACAGAGAGACACAGGCTGTGGTCATAATTATTGAGGTGAAATGCAATTTGATGCTTGGGATGTTCTGGTGTTTCACTGACTTTGCAGGTGTAGGGCCAGTGGTCTGATTCTCTCTCTAGAGGATGGCGGTAAATAGTGTGGCATCGGGTGGGGGGGGAATCTCTTTCTGAGGGTGGTAGCAATTATTAATTCTCTTTTGTCTTGTTTTGAAGTCCTGTATCATTTTCATTGTTTTGTTGGGTTGGGATTTGTTCTGTTTTGTTTTGTTTGACTTTGTTATACCCAATGACAAAAGTAGCTGTTTCAAAGATAGCAAGATATATTATGGCAGATATATATTTGGCTTTACTATTGTCTTGTTTTGGAGTACTGTATTGCATTCATTGTCTTGTTTTTTTTGGTTATATTCTTTTCTGTTCTGACTGACTTTTACTATGTGTGAGGGTATTTGCAGCCATTTTGAGGACAGCAAGAGGCATTATGGTAACTATTACTGATTTTGTATTGTTTTGAAGTCCTGGATCACTTACACTGGTTTGTTTTGATTGGTTTTATTGTGTTTTATTTTCCTTGGTTTTACCCTCTTTAAAATAAAAATATAACACATACATAAAACAAAACTCAATGAGCTATCACAACATGAATACTTTTGTATCAATAGCTAAAACAAGATAGTGACTAAAGTCAGTAAACACCCCTTCCTCTGTTGATTTGTTTTACTGTCCCTACTTCTAAAAAAAAAATGACCATTATATTGACTTGTATGACAGTCGCTTCCCAGATTTCTCTTTATAATTTTAACACTTACACTGACATGTCTATACAATGTAGGATAATTTTGCCTGTTAGACTTTATATACAGTATTCACATAGTATGTAGGTAAGATGTGGGTTAGGAAGTCTTATGCTTTTTCACCCTACTTTATGCTTTGTTGCTACGTGGAGCTGTAATTTTTCATTACTAGGCAGCATTTTGTGTGAGTACAGCTCAGTACAGTTCAGCTGTTGAAAGACATTTGGTTTATTTACAGTTTGTTGAATTACAGTGCTAAGAACATTTTATGAAATGTATCTTGATGGACAAGTCCACACACATCCAATAGGCATAGTCCTAAGAATGGGACTGCTACATCAAAAATTGCTTTTCCAAAGTGGTTTCACCAAGTTCTATTGTTAACTGGTGATATAGAACAGTTCCCACCCAGTTTGTTTACTTGCTGGACAGCTGTACTGTGCATCTTTTTAATTTTACCCATTCTGATAGTTTTCATTCATCGTTTCCTGATTAACAAAAAAGTTACACTCTCTATAAATTTATCTGCCAGATTTTTGTTATGAAAATCCTGCTCAAATGTCTCGGTTTTTCTTATTGATCAGTTTTTTCATAGCTTATATATGAGCCCTTACACATCTTACAATGATCTTCTCTCAATTTCCACCTTGTCCATTGTTCCCTTTAATGCTTTTGATAGTTCTCAAGTTGTCTATTTAATTTATTAAAAATTATAATTTTCTTTGTAAAAGTAACCTTTTGTTCTATTTAAAATTCATTTTGTCATGGTAACAGGTTATTATATAATCTTATAAAATAATTAATGATTTTTTTCCTGTGGGATAGTGGGAATTGAAACCACAGCCTTTGCTCTGAGTTGTCCAAGCTGGGTTCCATTTGTAGATCATCATGACTCAGCTTTCCATAGAGATGAGATTACAGCCTGAACCACTATGCCCTGTTTCTTTCATCTGTCTGTCTAGCCTTTTATCATTATATCAATGTCTTAACCTGATAGATATCCCATTTTACTATTTATTCTTCAAGAGATCAACTTTCTTAGATATTCGACCCTTTGCATTTCCATATAAATTTCAGGATACACACACACACACACACACACACACACACACACACACTTCTGAGATTTCTAATGTATTTGAATTTAATCTATAGATCAATTTTGTAACAATGGACACAGTATAAACTGTAGAATGTGTTAAGTTCTTTTAAAACTATGATAGTTCTTGCAATGGAAGCAACAGTTTGTGGTTATATCTATTTCTAGTTATTATCTCATATGCTACTATGTCAAATACCTTGAAAATTTCAGGGTTTTTGTTTTGTTTTGCTTTTTTGAGGTAGGGGCTCACTATACAGTTCAGGCTGTCCTTGAACTCACTATGAAGACTACTTGGCCTTGAACTTGCAGTGGCCCTCCTTCCTCAGCTTCCGGAAAGCTGAGATTATAGGCACATACCACTATGCCTCATCAGAAAATTTCAAATTTTGTTACTAATTACTAAAACATAATTGAGCTTTTAGTATTGACTTTGTATGCAGTAGATCCGTTATTTCCTACTTTAAATAATGTATTCAAATTTAATAATTTTCCTACTTTTTGTATTTTTTTATGCACAGATCATCAAAGGAAATTTAGATTTTCATCCTAATCCATGCCTAAAACCCACAACAGTCTGAATTTGAGCAATGTGTACTTTTGATTGTAAATTCAATGAAGAGTTGCTAATGGATCCAATCTCCTATGAACACTACAACCTCACACTCCGAACTACTAGGTCCTGAGCTCTACTCCTTTTTTTTTCCTGTCTTTTTCGTTTTTATTGGTACCAGGGATCGAACTCACGACTGCCTGCTTGCAAGGCAGGCGATTATGCCACTGAGCTAAATTCCCAGCTCAGTGGCATAAGCACCTGCCTGGCAAGTGCAAGGTCATGAGTTCACGGTACCCAAAAAACAAGCAAACAAAAAAAAGACAATTTGCCTGAGCTCTACTCCCAAGGTCTGCAACCAAGCCACCCTACACGGTGGGCTGAGGTCCCGGTAGCGCAAGCGCAAGTGATGGCAAACGCCGGCACCGCCCCTCCGTCCAGACTCAGCCAATCAGTGGCAAACGCCGGCACCGCCCCTCCGTCCAGACTCAGCCAATCAGTGGCAGCCTTTTGCGCGCGCGCGAGACAGCCAAAATGGCAGCGTCCATCAGCGCGGAGTTTTCATTTATAGTATTGGTGCTTCAATCTTGTTGCAAAATGTGAACTAGGCTGCTGGTTGATGGGGGCCTCCCAGCAATGAGTCGGCGGAGGAAACACGGGGACACCCCCAGTCCGAAGAGCGCGCAGCGCAAAACGGCGGTGGCTGAGAAACACAGCTCGATGGTCGAGCCGGAGAGGCGGCGGCTGAGGTCGGCCCGCCGCTCGGAGCCCCGCGGGCCTGGCGAAGGGTCTCCAGCAGCCGCTTCGTGCAGTAAAAGTCACCCCGAGGGTGAGACACGGGCAGCGAGGTTTATCTGGCGTCAGCGCTGCAGCCTACAGCCGAGGCTTTAGCGGGAACAGTGGGGTGGGGTGGAGTTCCCTCACTGTGCTCTCTGTGAGCCGCACCCCTCGCGAGCCCATAAATAACCCTCTGCACCCCGCATCTGGCGTCCCAGACTGGCACTGCCAGGCTAGGTTTGACCGCTCCCTTGCCTTACCCGGCTCAGGATAATGCTTTACCTGTGTGCGGTGTACATCTACGTCCCGTGTTGCCCTAGTCTGCAGCGAGGAGGTACAGCTGCCGGGCCAGTAGCCCTCGGCGTGTACCCAGGAGAATCATTGCCCCTAAACTTCTTTGCCCTGTTTCACTTTAGAGAACGGGACCTATGAAAAGCTACTGCTGGTCTCCGCAAAGCCTCAGCGATGGGCTGCTAAACCGGAAGTTGCTGGCTGTAATGTCTCTTAAGAATAGAATCAGTTTTGGGTATTGTAAAAAGACTTTTAACAAATTAAGTGTAATAAGAGTAAAACACATAGAAAAATTTACCTGGAACATATTCTTAAAACTCGGGTAAGAAAAACACAAATTGTGAAAAATGATTTTAGATAAAACTTCCTAGAAAATAGATTCCATATTGGAGTAAAATTATTTTGTAAGTTAAGGTTTTGGAGTTTTAACATATTGAAATATATTAAATAACTGAATGTTTATAATACAATCATGATTTCTTAGTTGTAACTTTTTAAGTGTTTAATAGGTTAAAACACAAAATCGAGAAAAAATTTATGAAATTGGCTAATGCACATGAGATGGAGCTAATAAAGGGGAAATAATAGACTTTTATTGGACTTTCTGTTAGGATGCATTTGATTTTTCTTTTGAAATGCACCTGTAAATTACAGGTAGTTCCTCAAAAATCTCTTAAGTGATAAGTGGACAGACTGAGCTTATGCAGTATTATACACTCAGCTACGAAATTTTCTGAAAATACTTGCTTTCCACAGTGTTAAACTTATGAAGTATTAAAGTTGGATTTTCATGTAAAACAATTTTCAGTTGTGTTTGATGTAATTGTTTTTACAAGAAAATTTTATATTTTAATCTAGTCCAATCTATGTGACTTGGAGTGTTGTGAAGTCAAGTAATGGTTTAAAATAGAATTGTTCTTTTAATCATATTTTATACAGAAAAGTATGAGACACCAACGAGAATGCTGAAAATGGATTTACTATCATGTACCTTTAGTTCTCCAAATGATCTAGATGGGCAGAATGATATCTTTTGGGACCAGAATTCTCCAGTGACAAAACAGTTAGGTAATCTCTTAACATTTTTATGTGAATAGCTGATAAATGGTTAAGATTTAAATAGAATTTCAAGTGACACCAAGAACTTGTTACAGTATGAATGTTGTTGAGAATCTTTTGTGAATTTATCTGTGTTATCTGCATGTAATGGCAGGAGTGCTGTCATCTAAGCAGCTTTAATAATTTTTTTAAATGCCAGCTATTATTTAAGTTTTTTATTTAAAATTTATAAAAATGCCTTTTTTTCTTTAGGTAAAGGAAGAAAAAAACAGATTTACACCACAGATACTGATGTGATTTCACATATTGTCAATCGTATTGCTCCTCAGGTAAATATCTCAAGTTGTAGAGTTTATTTTAAAACAATGAAAAATGAGCACTAAGTCCTTGTACAGTTCATTTATAAAAATACATTCTTTTATAATTGGCTCTTATTTTTACCTTACCTGTTTTTGAAATGCATGTTTTGGTTAAAGAAACATAAATGAGATTGGTAATATATTCGGTGGTCTTTTGGGATCTATAGAGGATTGGTTTCTAGGATTCCCACAGATCACAAAATCTGCAGTATTCAGTTCCTTTATGTAAAAGGGTGTAATGTTAGCAAGTAATTGAGTCACATCCTCCCATATACTTTATTTCCTTTTTTTTAAATTCTGGTTGCTGGAAATCAGACTCGTTCTCACATATTAGGCAAGCACTGTACCTTTAAGCTACACTCCTGGCACCTCCCATGTGTTTTAAACCTTACTTAGATTACATTTACCTATACAATGTGTATGTAGTTGGATACTGTGTATGTAGTTGGATACTGTGTATGTAGTTGATACATTGTATTATTTAGGGAATAATGACAAAGAAAAAAGTCTGTACATTTTCTGTATAGATACAAAGTTTTTCTGAATATTTTCAGTGTCTAGTTGGTTAAATCCATGGACATTGAACCTACAGGCACTGACGGCCATCCGTTTAAGAATATGTTTTCTTTTAGTGATTTTACAGTTGTGACTTTTATCAAGAACTTGGTGATTATTTTGTTTTTAATGTAACAACATGGCCTCATTTTTCAAGTTACTAAAATAATAGAACAAGTCAATACAAATTTAAACTTTCGAGATGTTTTTGTTATTATTTATTTATGGTCTATTGTGCAGTTTTTCCCCATTGAAACTGCTCTTTGTGTTTAACATCTTATCACTTTAGAATGATTTAGATTTAGTCTTCACTCAGCCTCTTATTGCTGTGTGACCTCAGGCAAGCCACTTAAACTCTTAGAAACCTAGTTCATTCAGCCACGAACTAGAATTATTATTTGTCTTATAAAGATTAAAGTAGATAAAAATTATAAAGTAGAACACTATAAATGTAAGTTTAATTATAATGGTTTGAATTATTTGTTGTAATAGAACCATTTTCAAGCGTTTTTCTTGCTGTCAGTTATTATTCTGCCTGCGTAAAATAGAAATAGGAGTTTAAGTCAATCATTTGACACAGTGAGATCCAATAACACAATAGGAGTTATTGTATTAACCCTGTCACTGTTCCTAACAAACCCAATACATGAAACTGTCCTGATCTTGTTTCCTTTCTTTTCTCACTTTTCCTTACTTAACAACATTTAAATCTAGAGAACATGCGGTGTTTTCTTAGTGTTTTCACTGAAAGAATGACAGTATTTTTCCTTAACATGCCCTTGGATAGTTACTATATGTTAACCATAAACAATAGGTGGCATTTGCCCAATATGTGGTTATGAGGACTCATCATCCATATGGAGGAGTCAGGATATAAAATTTTTCTTTGCTGTAAAATATCCAAAGTTACGAGTAGCACAATCAAAACAACTCTGTTGCTACTAGTTCAACATTCCTTGTCGAGCATGTCATAGAAACTCATGTACGTGTGTATAGTTCATTAGGTAAATAGCACTTGTGCCACAATTTTACTTTCTCTGTGAGTTAACAATAAGTCTTCATTAATTGTGGGTTTCACATGAAAGAAGCATAATAAAATATGTTTGGGCTGGCCAGCCTAAATAGTGATAAAAAGATTGTTGAGTAAATTATTGGATCCTTTACCTAAATGGGATGGAAATAATAGCTCATATAAAGAAACACAAGTGGTAACTTGTGTAATAGAAAAACTACAGTGAAATTAGATGCTTATTAATATTACCCTCTTCAGCTGAGCACTTTTAAAGCATACAAATCTTTTCAGAATCTCCAGATCTCTCTAGGAGCTTATCAGATGAGTTATCCTCAAATCATTACTTAATTTCTTTGTAATGTTCTTAGAAATGGCATTTTTAAAATATGCACTCCCATTTTAAATGAAGTCATTTCTGCAGTGTTTAGTGTTATTTGTCTAAAAATGGTAGAAACTTTACCTCATTTATTATAACTTTACAGTATATTCTTTAAAATGAACTGAAGTAATTTGTTTGGCTACCTTATATAGCATCTGGATTAAAATTAGAAGTCAATAAGTTCTGTAATTATTAATAAAATACATATATTGGATTCCTGTTATATTAAATCCTTGAAAATTATATGAATTGACAATCACTAAATGGTGAGAGTCTACAGTTAAATCATTAAGAGTATTCCTTAAATTCCTTAGAGATTTTTGTTGAAACAGAAGGAAAATACTGAATCCAAAAGTTAAAATGATTTTCTTGGCTATTTTGCAGTGCTAAAGTCAACTAAGTTCTAGTTGGTAAAACTGCTTGTTTCATGGAGGACTTTGAAATATCAAGTTGTGAGAGTGCTTTAAATTTACTTGCTTTTAAGTATAAAACGGCATTTTCTTTATGTCTATCATTGTGCTAGATAGCAAGGCATCATAGGAAGTGTCTTTTCCTTCCCGTCTTATGTAATCTAGTAATCAGAATTTGTTTTTGTTTTTGGTGTGGTGGTTTGGCTATGCTAGGATCAAACCTAGCGCTTTGCACATGCTGAGCTACCACTGAACTATATCCTTGGCCTCATCAGAATATTTTGTACTTCATATGACAGTCACATGTGTTCTAGTTATTATAAAATTCTTGTAAAGACTGGTTAATCAATTTGATTTGGTTTACAATTAATTCATAAAGCTTACCCTCTAGAGTTTTGGGGGAATCAAGCAACTGAAAAGCTTAATAAAAATTTCCAAATCTAAAATGACCTTTTCCTAGATTTTATCCTGACTGTTTTTTGTTCTATTTACATTTTGTTCTTATTCCTGCCTCATTCTTAGTACTACTCGAGACCTATCTTTAATTCAGTCCTGGCATTAATTCTACCTAAGTGTTATCATTTTAGGTCACATAGATTGTCCAACAATAGGTTACATTCCATTGACAAGAAAAATTCAGTCAAGTGGTACAGGATAACCCTGTGTATATACCATTATTTTCAGTTCTTTTTCCTTCTCTCCCTTTTCCAAAGGATGACAAACCAGCAGCAAATCCTATGCTGGACATCTGGATTGGTGAAACTGCTATTCCTTGTACTCCTGTTGTAGCAAAAGAAAAATCAAGAGTAAAAATCAGCTGCACAAAGTGAGTTCAAACTTTTCAGCTTTTTTGAGAGTCAGTGAATATTTTTAATTTTAATAATAATGTTTACGTATCAAAATGAAATTTTTTCAGTTTTGAGATGTAAAATATTGAAGTTAAATTGTTTTGTAAGTTAAAGTTTTAGAGTTTTAACATTGAATTATATTAAATAACTGACTGTTTATAGTATAATCATGATTTCTTAGTTATAATTTTTTAAATGTTGTTTAATAGGTTAAAAACACAAAATCGAGAGAAAGAACTGATGAAATTGGCTAAACAATTTGATAAAAATATGGAAGAGCTAGATGTAATTCAAGAACAAACCAAGAAGGACCATGATTTTGTCCAGATAATTTCAGACACAGAGACTTTACATAATTGTAAAGATTGTGTACAAATGCATTCATCATGTGAAGTAGTTCCTGAAATAGATAATGCTACATTAAATAAGCCCGTGAGAGGAAACCTAGTGATATCTGTGGCAAATGATCAAACCAGCAGTCAGAAGCCATTTGACCCAAATGTTGAAGCAGCCTTTAATGCAATTTTTGATGGTTCTACTCAGATATGTAGTGGACAGCTAAGCCAAGATCTGTCAGATGCTTTTTTGTACAACAGTAATACTACTTTGGGGGAAAAAAGTCCTTTGACAAAGGAGAGTATCATTACTGATAAAACTCTGGTCACTGAAAAACTGCCAAGTAAAACCCCAGTACCACTTTCTCCTCAAGTATGTGTTCCCACAGTGACAAAATCATACCTGACTCCCAAGACTAAGGAGCAAGAAGAGTCTAATAAGCACGTGGTCGCATTTCCTACCAATGATTTTGAGGATGATTGGGAAAGCTTACTAGAAAATGAACCTTTCGTTGTACAAAATACTGAAATGCTTGAACTTTTTCCCTCTAAAACTGCCCATGATAACAGTATATCAGGGACAAATACAAGTCTAGATACTAGGCTAAGAGATTCAAAAATACTACAAGATCTTCCTTCAAACACGCATAACCTAAGAGACACTAGAGAATACAGTTTTTCACCCAATCCAAACCGTAAAACAAGCAACTTACCACTCACTGGAAACGAAATGAAATTTGAGAAGTCATTCAATAAAGTTGTTATTCAGGACAAAACTCAGAATTTTACAGTTGTATCTAACCTGACAAAAATAAAAGAAAATATTCACACGAACTTTATTTCCAATGTAAATGCTTCTGAAAAAAAGCCTTTGAATACAAAATCCTCTAGTGAACAAAAAAATAAGCCCATTTTAAAGCATGTTTTTACAGCACCTGTTAATATTGATTCTTTTGGTGCTGCAACTGGTGTTAGTAACTTAAATCAGACTAATGCATCAAAGTTAGACTCTTTTATTGATGATTGGAATGATCCATTATTTGCTAGTGAAATTATTAAAGCATGTCATAAATTAGAGACTACTTGGGAAACAAATGATGTAGATGATGATTTGTTATATCAAGTATGTGATGATATTGAAAGATTAACCCAGCAACAAGACATAAAGGACAGCAAGAGTACTCTGGAGATCAATAATAATACCAAACATGGACACAAGAGCTTGCCTGCTGTATCTAAAGGAGGAAGTCATTTGGAGCAACCAAAGCATTTGAATCTGGGCAGCTTTTCAGCACAGACATCGTTCTTGACAAGTAACTCACAAATTGGCAAACCAATGAAGATGAAGAAAAGGGAAGTGTGTGAAAATTCACCACAAATTTTGGGTCCTACAACAAACTTGACTCCATGTTCTAAGAACTCAAATTGTGAGATCAATAGTGTACATGTGTCTTGGAGTAATTCTGATGCGCCGATACACATGACTAGTTCCAGATCGTTTCTCTCAAGAAGTTCAGATGTTAATGGGAGCTCCAATCATATTGGCATGGAAACTGTTAATAGTAAGAGACTGAGTACTCAGCGATTATCCTGTGTGACCACAGCACGTGAAACTCACAGTGACCCAAAAACAGGTAGATCCTCAAGGTATACGTTTACAAAGCTAAAAAATTCTCAGACTAATCCTCAGTTTCATCAGAATCATTCAGCAGAACATATGCCTGCTACCAGAATTACACAGAGTGTAGAGAAAAAGAAAACTGTCAACTTACAGGAGGCTGACCGACAGCAACCTTCGGTGAAACTTTCTGAATCTTTGAGACAGTCTTCCAAAGGTATGTATGAATGTAGTTCTCTTTAATACTACTGTAGATTCAGATAATTATGCTCCAGTACACAAGGGATAAGTGGTTTATGATTCAAAGGATTTTATTGGGTTCTTTCTTAGCACTTATGTGACTGGCATATAGTAAGTGGTCTATGTATTCAATAATTTATTATTTTCTAGAAATTCATGCTTCTAAGTATATTGCAGTGTTAGATTTAATATATGTATATTTGTTAAGTATCTCATGGTTTAAAACTTTAAAGTGTCTCCTACCTTTAGTAGAATGGTGAGGTGAATAATACTTGACTTTCTGGATTTTCTAGTTAAATATGTTTGCTAGCATAATACCTGATGTAAAATGCGGTGCAGATTGTGACAGTTAGAATTGTGATTTACTTATTTCCTAGAGCCTGTCATTTTACATCCTTCCAATTCGTATTTTCCACAGTTCTCCATTCTATCAATAAATTCCATTGATTGCACCTCAAAATTTGTATCTCAGGATCATCCATCTTGTTCTTAACCACACCCACCTTTTCCAAACATACATTCCTTGACTAGATTATTCTAAATCTTTTATGAGCCTCCTCTCATAATCTATAGATAGTGGAATACTCTTTTTAAAAATCAGATTGGCACACATGACTTCCTGTGTGTGAAATAGCCTTCAGTAATTGTCTGCATATTTCAAATGAAATCCCCACCTTACACTGTGATCTACAAAGCCTTGATGGTCTCTCCTTGAAGTGCCTGTCTTGCTAATCCTCTGCTGTATCAATTATGTTTCTTAACCAGGATACATTCTTTCCTCGTTTAAGAATTTAGACTGCTGTTCCGCTGAATAAAACTACTTCCCAACATTTGATCCCCTTCTCTTGGTGCTTTCGTATCCTTATATCTCATTATAAGTAATAACTTCTCAGATTTCTTCTTTGGAGAATCTATAGATAATTCTTTTCTTTATTTTCTGTCATTTCTAAATTTTTTCATCTCCTCACAAGTTATAATTAAATATTAGTGTCCGTTTCTGTCTTACCTGTGAATACTTTGCCTGCCACAACCTTTGACACTTAGGTGTTTAATATTTGAATGAACATTATGCAATATTGTGTGACAATCTTAAAATTCAGTAATATTATGTTTTTATAAGAAAATGCATTTAGCATAATTTTGTTTCTGTCTCATGTCTTTGGAAATGGTGTTTTCTATACTAAAAACATTAAAGCTCTGGTGTACTCATGAGGCCAATTTCTGTTTGTCCTTTAAAACACAGTATGTGTCTACCTACTTACTGTGATTTAGATGTACTTTCTCTGAGGTACTGATTTCTGTTGTGTTAGCTAGTTAAGCTAGCTAACTTAAGACTTTTTTTACCAATTACATAGGTCAGTGCTAGTATGGTAAATTTATATATATAAAAAGTTTACAAAAGTATAAACTGGAGATACTGGGCCTTATCACTGCATGACATGTCCCACCCTTTTAAAAATCTTTTTGAGACAGGATCTTGCTGAGTCACAGAATTTGCCCAGATTGGGCTTGAATTTAAAATCTTCCTGCTCTCTTCTTCAGTAGTACTGTGATCACAGGTGTGGACCAGCAGGCCACCTGTTGTTTTTTTTTCTTCATTGTTACTTTCTGCTTCAATTGTCCTATTTAAATGACTCTCCTGCCTTTTTTTTTAACTTAACAGTAGTAGGCTGCTTGTTTAAAGAGAGAAGCAATGTAGAATAATTGATGTGGCAAATTAAATCTTCAGTTTCCCATTTCCTGAAGCCATTTTATCAAAGCAAACCACTAGTTTGTTGTATATGTATCATGGAGCATTTTCTGTGGTTGCGCACGGGAGTGTATAATACTGAATAATATATGCCCATTATTTAACACCTTGCTTTTATTTTTATTCCATATAGCTGTATTTTCCAGTTAATACAGTAGTTTTATTTCATTTGTTTTAATGAATAGGCATCAATGCAGCAATGTTTATATTAATATCTTGTTGCGGGAAGTTTAGGTTGGTTGCAGGATTTTTTTTCTATAATTACAAACTGTAATGAATATCATTTTACATAAACTTCTGCATGCTTCTCTGTTTATGTCTATTAATTCCTAAAAAACCAGAAGTATTTTCATTTTTAATGGATATTGCCAAATTTCTCTATCAGAATGTTACACCACCTTATACTTAACCCAGGCATGGGGTGCATGTCTGTAAAATTCAAGCACTTGGGAGGCAGAGGCAGGAAAATTGCTGAGTGTTTGTGACCAACCTGAATTACATAGCAAGACCCTGTCTTAAAGGAAAACAGAACAGAACAAATTTACATGCTTAAAAACATTGACAAAGATTTCTTCATATCATAGCCCAAACTAGATGCTTTGAAGCTTTCAAAATTGTCAACCTATGATTTTAAATATCTAAATTTCCATTGAAGTGAACATACTGTAACTAATTCAATCATGTTTCTAACATGAATTTATTTACATATAGTTAAAATACCATTATAGATTAATCTCTCTGGAGTATTTCAGCTTTCCCCAAGCTCCTGTGATTTCATCTGCATTTTTATAAATAGATAATTTGCTTTTTAGCTTATCTTATCAGTTTTTCTGTAAACTTATTGAGAGTGCGCCATATCTTAATTAGTATTAACCTTGTCAATATTTTATATGTTCCTACCTCCAAACTTTGGTGTGTAGCAAGCTGCTTTCAAGAGAATACCTTTGAAGCAAAACCCACTTAACACTCACTGATTTAATTCAGGGCATGCTATGGCCTGTACAAATTCAGTCTGGTAGCCTGTTGTTATGCAAAGACACCACACTAAAAATAGTTTTTACATTTTAAATAGTAGCAAAAAAACTAAGGATAATGCTTCATGGCATTTAGAAATTATATCAGATTCAGATTTTATTGTCCATAAACAAGATTTTATTTCAATATACCATATCATTTTTTTATGTATTGTCAATGACTTTTTATGCTACTGTGGTGTAGTTGAACAGTTGTAATCAAAGAGCATATGGTTTTCAAAAGTTAACACATTTACTTTCTGTCCCTTTAGAGAAACAAAATTTCCACATCCCTGACTTAGTATCTGACACCAATAAAATACGATGTTTCAGTTCATAGACAGCTGGCTCCAAGGCAGGGAGTGTGACAGAGGAGACACAGACAGGAAGCACAGAGAAAAAGTACAAGCCAGAAAGGGTGCACCCTACAGCGACCGCCTCTTCCAACCACACCCTACTTCCTAACAGCAAGTCAGCTATCAGCCCCCATAATCCAGTCAGCTTTCAAAAGCAAAGGAGGCTTTGGGGGTCATCCAGATATAAACCGTAGCAACCCCTGGTTCTTTAAAATCAAAGTTAAGAAAGGGTACTTTTGCTTAGTGTCTTGGAATAGTTTGATTTTACAAGGGTATTTTTATTCCGATTGAGTTAAAGGAAAGACTAATGGGGAAAATGGATCGCTGTCCCTAAATCAGATTTTCCTGGTATGGTTTTATATCTTTGGACATTACTTTTCATATTATCAAGTCAATTACAAGACCAATATTAGGAAATTATATTCTTTTATGCCAGTGTGCATTATTAACCCGTTTCCTTCCAGCTTTATAATCAATTGAATGTAGACTCTGTGTGTGTGTATTCTAAAGTTTTTATTTGTCAACATTGAGACTAAAGTAGGTAGTCAGTTATGAAGTTCTTTTAGTGTCTTTCTAGAATGAAAAATAGTTTAGGAATTAACCCATTCAAAATTATCTGGGAAATTTATTTGAAATATGTATTTCTTAACTCTTACTATCCTCTCTCATATCCAGTTTATTTGAGAGGGATGACAGATATGTTTTGAGAAATTCCTCATTTAGTTACAAAAAAAGGATCTTATAACAAATTCTCTTTTTTTCTAGATGCGAATTTTTATTCTCTAAAAAGTACCTTTTACAGCATAAAGTTTTACCAATAAAAGGTCACTTAAATATGTATTAGGCTTGTTAGTACTTTATATTTAAAATATTCAAATATGAAAATAGTTCTAAGATAAACTTTTAACTAAGTTTAATAGACAACTAGCTCCAAAGAGCCAGTTTAACATTTCTATGCTATGCAAACTCCAAATTAATCTCTTTTGTTTATGTGGTGTTTTTTTTGTTTGTTTGTTTGGTTGGTTGGGTTGGGTTTTTGGGGTTTTTTTGTTTGTTTCTTTGTTTTTTGCACTGGGGTTCGAATTCACGGCCTAACACCTGCCAGGTAGAGTCTTGGGCCACTGAGCTACATTCCCGGCTTCCAAATTAAATCTTTCGACAGTGTGTCACATGTTGCCAGTTTGATGTGAGAGATTTAACTGTTTCTCCAAAATATTTTTCTCAATGCTCGAAATAAAAACTGTATGTAGCTCTGTAGAGAAAAATGTAGCTGTAAGTATTAATATAGCTTATGTAAAATACATTAGTTGAGGTAATAATATGTGTTTTTTTTCCAGTGTTTGAGACCGAATCTTTTTTTTTTTTTTTTTATTTAGAGAAAGATAAAACAGAATAGAAAACGGGCAGAAATAGTACATACTTTCAAAGAAAAGAAATAAACAGTAATAAATCACTAGTTGATGTATACATATTGTCCCTCCACAAATAATTGTTCAAGATACAAAAGTGGAACATATAAATGGAAATTCAACCAGGGAGACTGCAAACTATTCTGTTCAACTTATCTAATAAAAACTAAGTAATATAAGTATCAATCCTATCCATTTAGACATGTTCGCATATATCCATATCTTCATTTATGTTGAGAGCTAACAAAACTTATTAAATTAAAATCCTTCTGAACAAAGATTAATAATATTGCTGGATTTCACATCATAACACTCTGGAATCAGCACTGGGTACTGCAGTGCCCCTTTCTTTCCTTCAAAGTATTTGTTCATTTCATCATGTATCATAAGATCAGTTCTCATAAACAGTTTATAGGTTTTATGCAAGCATGAGTCTTAACATGTATTTCTATCCTTTCTATATTAGAGGGAGAAACAGAACAAAGCAGGACAGAACTAAACATATTCCTATAGACACATAAAACTAAAAAGACATATAAAACTGCTGCATAAGTTCTACCATGGTTACTATCCTGTTTCTTGTTATCATCAACTGAATTGGCTATATCATCAGATAAAGTATAATTGAATATATCAGTACATAACAGAATTAACAGAAATACAATTTTGTAGGTAGTGTAGAGATACAAAAACAGGTAGTAATAAATCAGAATGGATATCATGGTGAATCATTGTCATTTTCAGTATAGTTGTTTATACTCCTCAACTTGATACCAGCAACCTAACAGTTTTGATTAAAATCTGTTAATAATAAGCAGTATTCAAACAATTCAGATTTAACTAAGATCAGTCATGATACAACAGTATAAGTCATACAGGGATCTTGATTGAGTTAATAGGAAGTTAAAGATGACCACTGTGCTGTGTCCTGATATCTTCAGGTCAGCTGTCTGTGCTCTCAGATCCAGTGCTTGCATACAAACTAGAATGGAACAAGTTCCAAACAAGCAGAGTGGGTGCAAGTAATAAGGATTTAATTCCTGATACACTATTAGCTTTTTTTTCTTTTGAAGACTATTCCTCCCCACCCCCAGGATGAACTGTATTTTTGGGTCTCCCTATCACTCATGGTTTTATATTGGGGGGGGCAACCCACTATTTACCTAAGTATTTCTGTACTTTCTCACTCCTGGGTTGGATTTCTAGTTATATTTCTTCGTTTTTTAAAGCCTGTCTATTCAACCTATCCATAAATACTGGCGAGGTTACCCCTATTACTCTCTGGTTCCCTATCACTTCAGTTCCATCTTCTCATACTTGATTTTGGTCTATATAACCTTCTTCAAGCTAATTGTATTTCCTATAAAGAGTCTCTCGGTGGACCCTACCTCTTGATCCACTCTGCCTGAAAGTCTCTCTTTTTTCCCTTAAGTTAGTGTATTTAGGCCATCTATATTAGAAACTATATCCAACCTTCTTTGCCTTGTTTCTGTTGTGCTCTTTTTCTGTCATTAGTTCTCTGTTTGTCTTTCATTTTGCTTTCTACTTCATTCATTGTGGCCTCTCTGCCATTGTTTCTGGTATTCTGGTACTTTTCTCTCTCTTTAGAATGTCCTGCAGTATTTTCTGTAGAGTTGGATTTGTGGTTGCAAATTCCCCCGGTTCCTCTTTATCTTGGAAGCAACTTGTTTCTCCATTAATTTCTAGGGACAGTTGTGCAGGATATATCAATCTTGGCTGGAGGTTATTGTTTTTCAAGGCTTGGATTATTTCGCCCTGTGCTCTTCGAGATTTGATGGTTTGTGCCAAGAAGTCTGCTGTAATTCTGATGGGTTTTCCCTTGTAAGTGATCTGTTTCTTGTCTCTGACAACTTTTAATATTCTGTTCTTATATTGGATTTCTGGAATCTTATTATATGCCTGGGTGTAATTCTGTTTTGATTGTAAGTGGCTGGAGTTCTGTCTGCCTCATACATCTGAGCATCTTTCCCTTTTCCTATATTTGGGAAGTTTTCCCTCATTATTTCTGTGAATAGCCTTTGCAGTTCCTTTGTTTTTACCCCTGCTGCTTCTCTCACATTCTTTATTCTTAAGTTAGAGATTGTTTTGTCATCTTCTAGCCTTTGTATTGCTACTGCTTATTTCCTTGTTATTTTTAAGAAGTTTTTCCTTTCATGCTCCCACATTACAAATCTGTCCTCCAGTTCAGATAATCTATCCTTAGTTTCTTTCAAGCTGTTATGCCAGCTTTCAATAGAGTTTTTAGTTTCCTGGTAATCTCTTTGAACCTGTTTCATGTATTCTATGTTTTCTCTATTTTTTCCATCAAAGAAGTCTCCCCCTTTTTTCCTGTTCTTCCATTCCACCATCTGTTTTTTCTTGAGAGGTGCTTAGCATTTAACTATTCTACTTATATCTTGCTTTACTTGTCTATCAGGCATATGTAGGAGGCCCAGTTTCTTTCTTTGTTGGTTACGGTTTGTTTGAGTCGTGTGGGCTAGGTGTTCCCGCCCACTGCAGTGTACTAGGGAGACACAGACCTGAGCGGCCTATGCTGGGCCCGCCCCTCCAGGTCAGTCAACCTGATGAGGGCTTCGCTGCGTTAGGGTGCACCTCCAGGCGCAGGGACCTGGTTTGGGCTAGCCTATTGGGTTTTAGTCCATGGCGTTACCGTGGTCAAGCGCTCCCCACCAATTCCACTTGAGAGGGGAATATGTGACTAAGGTTACTGCAGCGCCTTATTCCGGCTATTCTGCCCAGTCCCAGAATGTCCTTTGTTGGAGCCTCCTAGTCGATGGAAGGGACGCTGTTCCTCTCACTCACTGCAGGTCGATGCAGGGCATTCGCCATCTCTGCTCTCAATTCGTTTCACCGATTCCCGCTCTCAGAGCGTTCGCGTCTCTGTCCCTGCTGTGCCAATTCAGATGCAGCAGCAGCAGAGAAATCAAGCCGTGGTTTCCAGAGGCGCAAGTTCCAGTGGTGGCACTGAGACTTTAGTTGTTCCATTTGTTTTCTCTCAGCTTAGTTTGTTCCTAGGTCAGCAGGGTATATCTCCCTCTGCTTAGGACTCCCCACACCGCACCATTCCTGGAATCTAAACTGGCTATCTCAGAGAGCCTCCGTAGCTGCTGTTATCTATCCACCATCTTCTCTGCTTCCCAAGACAGAATCTTGATAAGTACAGTATTTCAAAGTGGCCAGTAACTTCCTAGGTAGCGCAGGCTGCCCTTGAACTGACAGTGATCCTCTTACCTCAGCCTTTGAGTGCTGGGATTACAGGCACTACCACACCCAATGTACTCAGTTCAATTTTTGTTTTATTGCTTTTCTATTGAAGCTTATATAGCACTTTAAATGCCTGTTTTTTAATATATTCATATATAACTTAGCTCTTATTATCCACAAGAATTATTTGGTGGACAGTCAGTTTTTGATTTTACTGAATTTAACTGAAAAGGGTACATCCAATATGGACAGATCTATCAGTGCTTAGTTATCTTTTAAACAGGAGGACATTATATACTTGGAAACTTATATTTAGTCTGTGTGCTGTAAATTAATATATATGTTTTGTTTAATTTTTAGAGGAAGAGGAAAAATATAGAAAGTGTTCTCCCGAAGAAATTCAGAGAAAAAGACAAGAAGCATTGGTTCGAAGAAAGGCCAAAGTCCAGGCATCATCTGTAAATTCAGCTCCCATCCAATTTCTTTAAAGAAATATTAGTTGTAAGCGAAAAACTGTTGACTATCTATGATAGAAAGTATTTTATCTTATTTCTCTGTGAGAAACTTAATGCTGACTTATAAAGCATGGACTTCTGCTCTATTATTTAATAAACCACTGTTTGCAATGATAAATGAAACTGGAGATAAATGTGAAAATAATTATAAGTTATAGAAATTCAGAAACATTAGGAAATATGTAATAAAATTATACAGAGGAATATAGTTGTATTTTTAAATCTTCCCCTTAGAGAGGATCAAAAAATAAGTAATCTACCTATTTTTTTGTCTTTTCCTAATACTACCAAGCTTTGACTTCCTGAGTAAATAGAAACTACCTTGTTTTATTTTCAGTAACTATTACTTTAAAGTTTTCATTTCCAAATTTTAATTAATACTTCCATTACGCTAGGAACATGCTTGGTAGGAAATAAGAACCTCAGTTTTATTTGTAAGGAAATTACTATTTTCAGTTCTTAAAGTACATTTGAATTTAGTATTTCTAAATGATATAGTTTGGAAACTCCACCATTTTTAGGATAAACATTGGTTTAGGAAGTCTAGAAAAAGAATAGCAGAGGATCTATACAGTAAGTAATTTACTTTAGTAATTAATGTTTAGAACCAGCAGAAACTTTAGATATCTGATCTATGTTACTGTATAGGTGAAAAAAATCACTAATTTATTTTCAGTGTCACAGGCAAATTAAAGCTGTGCTTGTATTAAAGTCATATCATTGAATAACTAAACTGTTAATACCGTTTGCTTCAAGCTAGTAGTCTATAAACTAACCTAAAGAAACAGTAATTATTTTACATTTAAAAGAATATAATTAAAAGCATATCAAGGACTGTTTAATAGCAATACTTACTGTTCCTTACTTTAAAGAATTAATCTTTCCAGGATATATGAATGAGCTTTCTCTTTTTAGTTTTCCTGTAACTGTGATTTTCTTCCCAATTATGTTTCCCAATGTCCTCCCTTCTGCTTTTTGCCTTCTTGTAATTTGTTATGCCAGTTATAGCAGTCTAAGTAGAGGGCATAAAGCAGTAAGCTTTAGTCATGTTCAGTGACTTGAAGAGACCTTAGGGAGGTTACAGATATGAAATACAGTGGTACAGTTTTCACCACCATTCAGTTGTTTCAGCTATGGTAACATGGTAACTGTTGCTCTTCAGGTGTGTATCCTTTTGTAAATACTGTCCTATTTTTGTATATAGAGTAACAGATTTTAAGTAACCTATATTATTTGTCTAAAAATATATAATGCAGATAAGTATGTAAGAAAGTGAAGAAAAGTTCTTTTTTTCTTGAAGTTATTTCACTGTATTCCGTCTATACCTTGAATATCTGTGATAAAATTTAAACAGGGGTCATGCCCCACTTGAATCAATTTGACTCTGATTCCCTGAAGTTTAGAATTAGAAATGTTTCTAGCAATGATTTAAATTTAGTTTAACACTTGAGTAATGTGAATGATAATTTATTAAAAGCTGAATGTGGTTTTCAATTGCTCTTACTGTTTTGATCATAATTACTTATGAGATTCAAACACAAAGTATCACACTTGTCTTTGTGCCTTTTCAGACCTCACAATGAATGCATATGTGATTGAGTTCATTGTGCCCCCTTTTATACTCCATAAGAAAATCATAATTGGTAAACATAGCATTAGTAAATGTTTTATTTACTAGAAATAGTTTTAAGCAACTTTATGTATTGAACTCATTTACTTTTAGAAATGACTATACAAAGTATCACTTTTATACAGATAAACAGTAATTTTCTCAAAATTACACAATTAGAAAAAATTTGTAACTGAGGTTTGAATTCAAGTAATATAATACCAAAGGTTGTGATTTTCTTTAAGGTTCAGATTAGAGTTTATTAAATCAGGACTGGAGAAGACATAACACAAATAGAAGCACACAGCACCCAAACTGAATTAAATCTAAGATCTCTGAAAAACACTTGCTAATTCCACATCTGGTCAGTTCCTGGCCTATTGGCACAGTGGATTGTCAGAAGAGAGGAGGAAGTTCTGGCTGAGTTTTGAAACACTGTCCACGTAGTTTTCAAAGCCTGGCCAGAGGTTTGCTGTTAAGTCTTTGTAATAGATACAGCTACAGCTAGAAAGATGGCTGTGATTAGCAAGCCCCAGTTAGCATTTCCAATGCACATCAGGAGCTGGGAGTTAGCTCTGCCTGGGGCCTGGATCAGGCAACGCAGGCCACAGTCAAGGTAGCTTTTGTGTCTTCGCAACCTGCCACCACCACTGCATTCTCACAGGTTTTGGGAAGGAGGTTTTTCTTGAAGACTGTTCCTATAGACCCTGAAGCTAAAGCTTTCAGTGACTGGGAACTGCGTTGATTCAAAGGGAGCCTTCAGTCCCAAGGCCAGGAGTTACCATTGTGGTCAATATAAGTGTAAGAAAAACCTCAGAATTGTGATGGGCAGGAAGACTAGTGAGGATTTGCACAAAGTATAAGTTGCCCTGCTCTCTCTCTCTCTCTCTCTCTCTCTCTCTCTCTCTTTTGTTTGATACAGTATTTGCTGTGTTGCATGGGCTGGGCTCAAACTTGAAATCCTCATGCTTCTCAGACAGAATTATAGCTGTGTGCCACCATACCAGACTCTGACTTTAAATGTTGATCATACTATCATTTCTGAGAACACTTTGTAACGACTAGTGTTCTATGGAAATTATCTCTCTCTACAGCAAAATATTAAAGCATTTCAGTCAGTTGTGCCAGAAATTTCATGAATATAGATCTGTTAAATTTTCTAGCTCAAGAATTTTCTTCTCTTTTCTGTTCATGCTGCAGATGACTATTATACTTCCTTTGCTTGTGTGAATGCTGATTATATGAATGTATATGCACATAAATTTCACCTTTGTTATTCAACTGTTAGAATAGGGAGTAACCATCTTCACTTTGCTTCATTATTTTAGTAACTTCTGGGTGTTATGGCTTAAATCTATTGAGGACAAACTAATTTCCTAGTCTAAAATATGGTGTATGGTGGTGGTGATGAACGTATGATATGCGCTGTAGCGGACTGTATCATTGAAAACTCTGGAAGTTCTCCATCACTGTTATACCTCAAGGTGAGTAGATAAATTTGATGTATAATATAGAGAAACAGTATTAGTTTATAGGCCTTTTTGTACTTCTGTAACTTGAAGTCTCTAAATGTCTTATGATCATTCTTTCTATTCATATTTACATAGTAGAACCGATCTGTACTGAAACATTTAAAAATAATGAACTATCATGTGTAAGCACAAATCTTTAGGAAAATTTTTCTAAGAAACTTGTGAGAAAAACAATATCGCTTCTATTTTCGTTAAGGATTTGATGTGACCTTACATCATATGGCTAGATTCTTAAATCTTTCTACAATTAGTTTGTTACAATATGTTGTTATAGTTGAAATGTATGAATAAAGTCCAATCTCACACAGATAGGTGTTGTAGTTAGAAAAGGAGGAAATACAATATTCTCTTCAGGAAATCACAGATATTCTCTGATAGTACACTGTTTTCCAGTAAAACTGGAAAAGTGCTAGTTTCATAAGGTTAGTTCTAACAAGGAATAACAAAGACCACATGTTATAGCATCTTCTGGTTGAAACAGCCAGATAGGGAAACAAAACCAAACAAAACTCAATTTCAAGACGGACTATAAGAGATTAGGAACGTGATAATGTGGATCCACAAAAAAGAATCATAAGCACCAGAAATGATAAACACATAAGTAATATAATAGACTTTTTAAAGGTTATTGAAATCTTTTTAGAAAATACTTGGTTAAGTAAAAATAGTAACAGTCTGGTGGAGTCCATAACATGTAAAATTTCAATACATGGCAATAGCATAAAGGTGAGAAAAAAAAATTATTTCTTTGTGTTTTGTTTGGTTTGGGTTAGGGTTGGGTTGGTTTGGTTTGCTGCTGGGGATCAGACTTATGACCTTGTTTTTGCCAGACCAGGTACTTAGGCCACTGAGCTAAATCCTTGGCCCCTTTATTTTATACTCTTGACAAGCTTGAATTGTTAGTTTCCAGCAATTTCACTTTCTGGAGTTTTTTGTTCTGTGTTTTGGTACTAGAGTTTGGACCCAGAGCCATTCCACTGAGGTATATTCCCAGCTCTTTGTGTTTTTTGAGACAGTATTTCTATATTGCCAAAGCCAGGCTCCGGTTTGGAATCAGCTTGCCTTACCTCCAGAATCCTAGAATTGCAGGCATGCACTATCACTTGTACTTCGACATTTCTATTTATATAGTGTATTAGGATCCTCCAAAGAAGTAGAACCAATAGGCTATATATGCAGTTTTACTGACTTGGCTTACATAATAAGAAGTTGGCTAGACCCACAGTGGCTGTGTGCAAACCGTAGCTACTTAGCCTTAAAAAGCTGGAAGCCTGAGAAGAACCAACAATACCGTCTAGTTCAGGGCTGAGTGCCTAGAAGCTCCCAGAAGAATAGCAAGAGTTTGCACTCAATGGATAAAAAAGCTGGAGTCTGATGTAATAGGCAGTGACAGCAAAAAAAACCACAAAAAAGAACCACACTGAAGAAGAGCCCTGCTTGCATGAGTGGCCAAACTTCCCCATTTTGCCTTTTGTTTCATCCAGGCCTCCAGCCCATTAACTGCTGCTGTCCATATTCTGGGTCTTACTGCTCATTGCTGACCCACATGGTAATGTCTCACATGCACATTTAGTGTTTTACTACTATCTAGGCATCTCAGTCCAGTCTAGCAAACAACTAAGATCAACCATCTCAGTATGTTAACTGAATAATTGTATGAAGGACTGATTGTACAGCTCATTCAGTCTACTAGTCACACATATTTCAGTCATGAATGATAAATTGTGTTGCTCCTTTCAAAATGTGTTAGCAGTTGATTATTGCCTATTTATAATTCACCTTGTACTCAAAGCACAGTTTGTTGTATACTTTTCTCCTTATAATAAACTCTTGTGACATGTTTAAAAAGTGAGAACTTGAAATTAACCAATAAAGATGAAAATACAAAAAATGTTAACATTGGAAATGGAAAGTCCAACAAAGAGTTATAAAACCAATAATTTGATGAGAATGTTGGCATCTTTCGAAAGAATAAGCAGTCAAAGAACTTAGTGAAGTCAAACTTACATGAATGGAATGATAGTGATTAAAAGAATGAAGGTGGTTTGGCAAGGTGGCACAGGCTGAGGCAGGAGGCTTACGATTGAGTTTGAGACACCCTGGGTTACATAATAAGGTGCAAGATCTTATCTCAGAAAAAAAAAAGCCCCAGAGGATGCAACAATGGCAAAAAAAACTGCATTAAAAAACTCGCAACTAGTTAATGACATTAAAAATTTAAAATGAGGGGCTGAGGATTTAGCTCAGCGGCATAAGTGCCTGCCTTCCAAGCAGGCAGTCGTGAGTTCGATCCCCGGTACCGATAAAAAGACAAAAAAAAAAAAAAGGAAAAAAAGAAAAAAAAAATTTTTTAAATGTAAGGAGCTGACCTGAAAGCAGCCAACGGGAGCATCAGACATCTCTCATTTGATAGACTGCAATACTTGAGGGGAGCCTCATACGCCCCTCCCCTGCGCTGGACTTCAGCAGCTGGCAGTGCCCTTGCTGCCTATCCCCTTCACCCAGACAACCTCAGCAGCCAATAGGAGCATCAGTGACTCCTTCCACCACCTGCAGTAACTTGGTGCGCTAATAAAGGCCTTGTCCTTTCCCCCCCACCCATAGGACTGTGGCAGTCCAGCAAGAGCACAGTGAGTTATTGTCCCCCTCTACCCTGCCACAGATGTCCTCAATGGATCAGAAGAAGCCTTGGCAAACTTTCTCCCCAATCTGGAAAGACCTTGCCAGGCTGGCAGGAGCATAAGTGAGCACTTCCAAACAGAGAACCCTAGGTGGGCTGGAGAGAGCACCAGCAAGGCCTCCTCCTACCCAGAGGAACACAGTTGGGGCTGTGAGACCCCAGTGACAATATGATTCCAGCTGGGGCACATACCATATTGGCGACATTGAACAGTCTGAAGCTGTACTAACAACGTGAGCTAAAGGTTGGTTTACATCAATACACCTAGGCTGGCTAGAATATAGAACCCACCCAACTGTCCCTGCAGAAGGGTTTCAGGTGACTGGCCCCTTCCCTGCAGTGCAAGACCCTGCAAGTGGGTGAGCATCAGTCTCACAGTAGGACCCTAAGAACACACGATGGACACTTGAGACTAGTAGAATTGAAAAGACCTAAATATTAATCCGAAGGTGAAAATGACAAAACAAAAAAGCAAAATGCAATTTCACATCCCCAGCCTATCTGGAACAAATGCAGGAGACATTGAAATAGAGGACCCTGGAAGTCACACACTTGAAATTTCTAAAAAGATGGCAAGTGAAGTAAAGAAGCAAATCCATGAGGCTATACAGAAAATCAGATCAGATCTAATCTCTGAAGCAAAGAAACAACAACCTTAATAAAGGGGTTGCTCAGCATAGTTAGAGAAGACATAGCTAACACAATACAGGAACATTGGAAGATGATGAAATCCTTGAATGAACAATATTGGAAAGAATGCATGAAACAGATTCAAAGAGATATCCAGAAAATTAAATATTTCACTGAAAGCTGGCACGACTACTTGAACAAAACTGAAGATAGACTTTCAGACCTTGAAGATAGGATCACAGCTAATGATCAGGAAAGGAAGAAATTCTTAAAAATAACAAGGAACCATGAAATAAAAATTCAATAGCTCCAAGACAAAGCAAAGGAAAAATACAGGACTGATAGGTGTCGATGAAAATATAGGAGTCAGCACAAATAAAATGACTTAAAAATATTTCAGAATAGAAAATTTCCCAAGCATAGGGAAAGAATCTGATATTTAGGTAAGTGTGTCATATAGAATGTCAAACAGCCATAGCCAAAATAAACCTGTACCCAGACATACAATAGACAAGATCCCAGAAATTCAGCATGAAAACAATACTAAAATCAGAGAAACCAAAATAGATCACCTATCAAGGAAAACTCATTAGAATCCTGGCCAACTTCTTAAACACTCAAGTCAAGAAGAGCTTGTATCTCAAGTCCTGAAAGAAAACAACTTTTAACCCAGATTGATATACCCTGCAAAACTATCCTTCTAATGGAGAAATAAGATACTTCCATGACAACTGAAGCAATTCACCTCCATCAAACCAACCCTAGAAAGAGTACTTAAATATATTCTAGGTAGAGATAAAAATGACAATTCCAAGAACAAAAACAAAGAAACCACCAAGCAGGGCAAGCAATTAAACAAATGAGAAGAGTGGGGAACCAACAGTAGGAAAACAACGTGACAAAGATAAACCAATATATATCAGTAGTAACCATCAACATAAATAGCCTCAGTTCACCAATTAAATAGATTGGCAGAATGGATCAAGAAACAAGATCCAACAATATGCTGTGTACAAAAAACAAGTCAAGGGATGGAAAGCAATATTCCATGCAACAGGAACCCAGAAAAAGGCAGGGGTAGCTGTTCTCTTTGCAAACAATGGGGACTTCAAAACTGATCAAAAGAGATAAGGTCAGTACCTACTAAGAGGCAAAATTCAAGAGTAGAGATAGCAAAAATGTATACTAAATATGGGAACACCCAACTATATAAGACAAATACTAATTGACATAAAAAATCAAATATCCAATAGTGTA